ATATTCCAGGACACAACTTGGACAAATGTTTCAAGGCAAGCAACACTGAAGCTCCTCTATGTACGCATTGCAATATGATGGGGCATTCTGTGGAGAAGTGTTTCTAGCTTAATGGTTATCCCCCAAACCATAAATTATACAGAACTCATAAGAGAGAATGAACTTTTGCTAATCAGTCTAGTTCAATACAGGAAGAAAGTGAAAGACCAGTTTCCATAACTAAGGGGCAATATGAAGAGTTCCTTGCCTTATTTCGATCCAGGGATAATTCACAAGCAAATCATTATGTCAGTCATATACAAACTGCCGATCATTCAAAGATCAAACCCCCATCTGATCTATCTGGTAAAACTGTTTGTTTATTTGCTCAACCTACACACATTCATGATTTCACAAACACTCCATAGATCATTGATATGGGTGCAACAGATCATATGGTCTGTAACACCAATTTCTACACCTCCATTAAGTAAAAAACGTGCCTATCAGTTAAGTTACCTATTGGTGAAGTTGTACCAGCTACACATTCTGGGGTAGTTAAACTTACTGATTCGCTAATTTTAAATGATGTGCTATGTGTCCCTAATTTCGATTTCAATTTGCTATCCGTTAAAAAATTGACACAACAGATGCATTGCTGCCTTTTCTGCCTATCTGATACTTGTTATTTTCAGGACCTTTTGTCTTGGAAGACGATTGGGAAGGGTGAAACATGGTGTGGCTTGTATCAACTCATGCTCCAGAATGTTCCACCTTCAGCCTTGATGACCAGCCTATCAGCTCTAAATTCCAAATAACCTCTTGCTGCAGCCTCTATCATTAACTCAGATGTTCAACCACACTTGTAGCATTATCGTTTAGGACACATATCAGATTCTAGGTTGAAACTTATTTTAGATAAATATGTTACTTCTCATTATAAGAAATCCAGCAGAGTCCCTTGTTTTATATGTCCTTTAGGGAAGCAACACAAGAAACCTTTCCCTATAAGCACACACAAAACTAAGCAACTCTTTGAAATTATCCATTTTGACATATGGGGCCCCTGTCCCACCACAGCTCGTGACGGATCTAAATACTTTCTATCAATAGTAGATGATTTTTCACGAGCTATTTGGGTTTACATGCTAAAAAGGAAATCTGATGTTGGTCATTCCGTTAAAGCATACATCCAAATGATAGAAAACCAGTTTCAGACCTCAGTAAAAGTCTTAAGAAGTGATAACGGACCTGAATTCAAACTAACTGAATTTTATAATCTAAAGGGAATCATCCACCAAAGAAGCTGTGTCGAAACCCCTCAACAAAAATGGAATCGTTGAGAGGAAACATCAACATTTAACGAACATTGCAAGGGCATTAAAATACCAGTCAGGACTTCCTTTATCTTATTGGAATGAGTTCATCCTCCCAGCCACACACCTAATAAATCGAACCCCCATACCTTTGTTAAAGAATAAAACACCTTTTGAAATGCTATTCCAAATTTTACCAACTTATTCTCACCTTAGAATTTTTGGGTGTCTTTGTTATGCTTCCACGTTAACACGTGAAAGAAGGAAGTTTGATCCTAAAGGGCGCCAATGTATCTTCTTAGGCTATCCATTCGGGGTTAAAGGATACAAAGTCATGGATCTTCAATCAAAAACCATTTTTATATCTAGGGATGTTATATTCCAAGAAGGCTATTTTCCTTATAAACAGATTGCTAAATCCAGTGATGTAGATGAGTTTGTATTCACCAAGCTATTCTAGAAACTATCAATTATATACCTGAGTCAAAACCAGTTGACATCCCTCTATCACCTGCAACTGACCAAGAGATAGCTAGTAACCCTACACCTGATGATGCTTCTTTAACACCATCAGATGACAATCTTCAAACACCACCAATCTCACTACCTATTATTCGAAAATCTACCAGAGCCAAAAAGGCCCCTCAATATCTGCAAGATTTTCATTGTCATCAAGCCACATCAGTGCAGCCAGACCAATCTTCTCTCAGGCAAAATTTCCAGATTCAGCAGGTAAGGTTTTTCCCCTTTCTAATACTATTTCGTATCATAAATTATCACCTAAATTTAAAGCTTTCTCAATCTCCATTTGCACACATACTGAGCCTAATACCTACCACCAAGCTGTGAATGACTCAAATTGGTGCAAGGCAATGAATTCCGAAATAGAAGCACTTGAGTTGAATGGAACCTGGTCTCTCACTGATCTTCCACCAGACAAAACGGCAGTTGGGTGCAAATGGGTATATAAACTGAAGTATAAGTCAGATGGGAGTATTGAAAGGCACAAGGCAAGACTTGTGGCAAAAGGGTACACACAAAGAGAAGGGATAGACTATAGCGAGACCTTCTCACCTGTGGCAAAGCTGGTAACCGTTCGATGTCTATTAGCCATAGCATCAATTCGAAATTGGCACCTAAAACAATTTGATGTAAGTAATGCTTTTTTACATGGAGTTTTACATAAAGAAGTGTATATGCAGAGACCCCCTGGCTACACCAAAGGAAATCCCAACCAGGTTTGCAAGTTGCTGAAAAGTATATATGGCTTGAAGCAAGCCTCGAGGCAATGGTATTCTACCTTTTCTGCAGCCCTCATACAATTTGGTTTCACTCAATCTAAGGCTGACTATAGTCTCTTTACTATGGCAACAAATTGTTCCTTTACGGCTTTACTTGTGTATGTAGACGACATTGTTATAACGGGCTCGAATCTGGAAAAAATAGACATAGTTCAGAAGTATCTCAACAGTAAGTTCAAAATCAAAGCATTAGGTGATTTGAAATATTTCCTTGGCATTGAAGTTGCAAGATCAAGCAAATGAATTGTAATTTCTCAACGGAAATATACCTTAGATTTATTAGCTGATTCTGGATTACTTGGAGCTAAACCAGTTAGACTACCTATGGATCAAAATTTGAAATTAGGAAGGGATATGGGAAAGCCTCTACCAGACCCTACGATTTACAGAAAATTGATTGGGAAGTTGATGTATTTATCATTAACTAGACCAGACATATGCTATGCCATTCAGAATCTCAGTTAATACATGGAAGCCCCCTCTTTTACACACCTAGCAGCGGCTCATAAAGTGATCAGATACCTCAAGCTAGCACCAGGACAAGGCCTCATCTTTCCTTCATCGTCCTCATTAACTCTTCGAGCATTCTGTGACTCTAATTGGGCTGCTTGCCCTAATTCACGAAGATCTGTCACAGGTTATTGCATTTTCCTTGGGGAGTCACTAGTATCTTGGAAATCAAAAAAGCAAAGCGTGATATCTCGATATTAGCTGAATCAGAATACCGATCAATGGCCAGTACCTGCTATGAAATTACTTGGCTAAAGTATATACTAGAAGACCTCCAAGTTCATCGCCCTCAGCCAGTTACCTTGTACTGTGACAACCAAGCAGCGTTGCACATTGCTTCCAACCCAGTGTTTCAAGAAAGGACTGAACACATCGAGCTGGACTGCCACCTAATTAGAGATCAGATTGAAGCTGGGCACATTTCCACATCCTATGTTCATACTCAGTCACAACTTACAGATATATTCACCAAGGCTCTCTCTTCAATCACTTTAAGGTCTCATCTATCCAAGATGGGAATAGAAAACATCTATTCTCCATCTTGAAGGGGGTTGTTAAAATAGAGAGAACAGAGCACACTTATCAGTAGTCCACCTATCAACCTTACCGTGAGCAATGGAGTAAATTATCAACCTGATATGTACAAACATCATAAGGCAGGACACTTATTAGCTCCAGGTGTCGAGCCAGCTGTATAGATTGCACATGGTTAAGTAGAACAATATTCCTTTCTTGTTATATAGTTTGTTAGAGTAATCCTTTACCTTTTTGCCCCCTTGTATAGCTTATATATTCACCTCTTGTATTTAGATTTTAGATATGAAATGATTCACTGATTCAATCCATTTGTCAGTGTTCTTCATCATCATTTCCATTTTAAATTCTTCTCCTTTTTAAAGTTCGGGAATCAATTGACAACTCAAGTAATATATTGGAGACCTACTGTGCAAGTTTTCTAAAATTTAAGCAGACGGAATGACGCATATATGGAGTAATGAGAAAATGATTGGACATTTTCTAAATATGCAAGAAACGGATGGGTTTGGAAGAACAAAATCTTGTAGATAGGGAATTTGGGAACCAAACAAATTAATAGTTCAGTTTTATTTGAATAAACCAATCCTGCGTGGATCGCGTGCACAACATGACTACAAAACAGTCATTATTATGGCCTCAAGCTTGAGTAATGAATTTTTTTGGGTCATAAAAATTATGATTCCTAAGAATTATTTCTAACATTCATTTGTCATAGTTCTAAACTACTAAATTATAAAAGGAGGAACTTTATGTAAAATGCGAAACTTGAAAGATACATCGCATAATATGACGAGCGAATTCAGAACACATATGCCAATTGAACTTCAGAAAGAAGTTAAGATTTATGTCTATAACCAAGTTAATTCAACCAAGCCTCGAGAAAGAATTTGAATGAAAACAAAAAAAACACCTTACAAGAACTTGGATTTGAAGAAGAAAAAGAAATCGAAGAACAATGGAATTCGATTTTGACTATGAGAAATTAGAAATTAATTATTATTATTATTATTATTATTATTTTCACTATGCACCTTTCTAGAATGCAATTTTGAGAAGTTCCTCCTCGATTGGATTCATCTATCGTTTATCAAAAGGCTAAATTGAGCTCAAGAAGGCCTTTCAAAATTGGGGGAAAATGGGATCAACCTAATTCAGAATATATCAGACGATAAAACTTCAGCACAGCTGCGTCTCCCGTCCCCCGTTGTGTTTTTCTTCAATAAAGAATTTGTATGAAAACAATTAAAACACAGTCTAAAAAACAAAAGAGAAGTTCAATTTCCATGAGGACATTAAACCGTAATTATTACAAATCAGAGAAGGAAAATTACAAGGCATTAAGGCCCTCAAACAATATTCAAGGAACAATCTTGTGTGATTTCATCTTATCAATGACAGAAATGAGTGAATATTTGGTGTTTCTGAATCCCAGAAAACCGTGTTCTTTGCTCTTATTCATACTGTCCAACATACACTCAAAACCGAAAATCACATCAGCAAACCAGAATGTTGCAACCTCCTCCAATTTAGTAGCCTCAAGATTGTTTTTCTTCACAATTTCATCCCAAACAGGCCCTTTATCTTTCATCCTTTCTGTTAAGCTCACATACGGCTCATTTTCGTCGAATTCTACATATTCAAGTTCAAATTGTTCAGCCAATATCTTCCACACATGCTTCCACTTGAAAAGGTCCCCATTGCTGCAGTTAAAACCTTCGTTTTTTCCAATGGGGTCGACCGAGCTCCAAATTTGTTGCTCGGCTATTAAGTCTGCATCCGATGCCACTGAATAACAGTTCCAGGCCGCCTTTGTGCCGGGAAATTTGAAGGGAACGTTTTCGTGCTTACATATTGCAGCATAGACACAAAGGGAGCCTATTAAGTTCATCTTACTGTATGGAGAAAAGCCGAAAATCACTGCAGCCCTGTGGGAAGACCATGTTAGGCCTTGTTTCTTTTTGCAGGCTTCAATTGCTATGTCCTCGAGTGTGTAGTAAAAGTTTATGACATCTAATCTGGGCTCATCCTCCACAAATGGAGTTTCGTGGGGTTTGATTTTACCGAAGGCTTCGAATGGTCCGATGTAGTGTTTGTGCCCTGTCTGTAGGCAAATATGGCTCAGATTTGGTGCATTGGGCATCACTGCATCAAGAACATTTTGCAACATGCCACCATTCACTTTACAGCATTCTGCTTCTGTGGGAAAATTAGCCCAAGTCACCCAAAAAATATGGGTTATATCAGTTAGAGGTGAAAGCTTGGCTGATGTTTCTTTCCCATCAGCCACGTCGCACTGGATGTACTCAACGGGGTGTTCAGCGTTCCACGGTGGCTGTGGGCGTCGAGCCACCCCGTAGACCTTCCACGGGCCGCCGGGAGTGTCGGATAATGGGAGGATTTCGGCCAAACTGTTTCCAACAATACCTGTGACACCAATAATCAGGGCCACATGCTGGAAGTTCTTTGAGCCTCCATTTTCAGCTGATGCTTTCTGCAACATCGATTCATTCAAATCGTTAATATGATTACAGAAACAGTGAAATATTAAATTTAATGAGTTTTTAGAGACTTGCCATGGCAGCTCCAACGGCACCTTTCCACCACCAGCTCATTTTGAAGAGACCAAGATTGTGATACACCTGAATACACACACAGATATATAGGTGAAATTTTTGTATTTGTATTTCTATTCGTGACCCCCAAATAGTACACGGTTTACGTTGGGCCACGCAAGTTTATCATAGTTGTGGAAATTGCAGGGGAAGTCATAAATTTAGGATCTTGTAGAAAGTAGTCACCAATCTTTAATTCTGAAAAGTTTAATCTTGAGAATCACTTTTGATGCATTATTAGTCCCAAATAAGGTTTTTATAGCCCCTATTAGGATTCCATTAAAATCAAAATACATTTATCTCAATCTTCTTTTCAACCATACATTTCTCAATAAAATAATATTATACGTAAATGTAAAATTTTTCCTTCTTCTTTAGCCACACATTCTTCAAAAAATCGCTATTTTAAAAGATTTTCCCAAAACTTGATTTTAATGGAGCCCAAACAAGGGCATACTAAGCCACTGTTTGGTGACCATTTTTTTGGAAAAAAATATTATTTTGAATAATGATTTTTTAGAGAATGTGTAGGTGGTCAAAAAGTAGGAAAAAAAATTTATGTTTACGTGTTGAATATTTTATTATGTAAATATGTAGGAAAAAGAGTTTTAAAAGAATGAAAGACAAACAAAAATTAAAATTGTTATAAAGTAGAAATGAAAATTTTGATGGATTAAATTTATGTGTCTGCTACTTTTTATTCATTGCCCTTTGAAAACAAATAAATTTTACAAAAATGTTATAAATTGAAGAAGATGAAAACAAATAAAACTAACAGCTGATGCTATAAGGTGAAAACTTCAAGATTGAAATACTAATTACTAAATGCATGATAATATTATTATGTTATTACAAAATTCAATAGGTTAGGGACCTCAGGTGCAATTTTATTTTATATGCTTTCATGAATACAGGAAGGGTAGGACCATGGTGAATTATCCTGGACCCGCAAAAGAGTTATGAGGAGGGATCAAATTCTCACCAACCAACTTTATGTCCATTATATGGCGTGGAATGCAGTAACAAAAGATTACACGTTAAAAATATATATAATATACCGCACGAGGTGCACATTCACATATCTAATTCTAAAACATAAGTGGCCAGGGTAGGAGTGAATAATTCTAGGCTCACTTCTTTCATTTACCTTTCATTGATTTTTATCACGAGTCTAGACATGACCAATAATTTATTGGACAATGCTTCATGTACATAATTTTTTTTCCTAATCTTTTACCTACACTCACAATAAGGTGTGGTGACCACATTTTTGGGAGTTTTTTAATCAAGCGGGCCCCGCACACATCTGAGAGGGTGTAACATTTTTGGTAAGTCCCATTCGGTACAAATAGTTTTATGACTTTTATCCTTATATATTTCTTCAGGTTACTAGCATATAATTAATGAAAGCATCCATCCACTCCACTTGATGCAAGTCATCAGATGCAAAATACCCATCAAGCTCTCTTATTTCAGCTCGAGAATTTCTATTACCACTTGTAGATGGTAAGATATCATTTTCAATATCGTCATCATCGTCACTGCCATCAATAATCCTAGCTTGTGTATTAATAATATCACTTGCTAGTAAAATTAGAAGAAGACTAAAAAAGGAGACTCAACATAGAAAGTGTGTAACCTGCGAAAAATTTATTTTTATTTTTATTTTTTCTAAACGTCAATACCTTACAGATTGCTATATTTAATTAATTGGTTTGGGTGATTTGGGCTAATTTGATGTTTGTTGGGTTTAATTTACTTGTTTTTAAAAGTTATAAAAATGGGTTAGACTACTTTCAACACACTTTTTGACGAAATGAGTTGACCGCATTATCACACGCATATCCTATATGAGATGCGTTTTGTAAATGCATCGAGCACATGCAAGCATTGTAGAACACGAATCATAGCTCCTTCCAAAGCATTAGTGGTCATTCACATGTCCACTACGTGATCCTTGTGCATCGTCACTTCTTACGGGCATTTTAGCCTAATGCTTGCCATCATACCATTCGTCAATGTCTAGCCCAATTAAGGTAATCCGTTAATTCAAGGTTAATTAGAAGAGCCTTTATAACACAATATGTAAATCTTTCCAATCTTTTCCAACTATGAGACGTCACCCATGATCGCATTTCTAGCCAAGGGACCCAAGATAAGGCCAGAACCCATAGCCAGTGCACACGAATTAGAATCATTAAGTTACGAATAAGTCCCCGTTTGACAACTATTATCTAAAAATTCTTTTTTCTACATACTTAATTTTAACTACATATTCATATAAGAAATTATTTTTCACGTAAACTTAAATTTTCCTCTACTTTTTAATCACACATTTTCCTAAAAATTACTGTTCAAAATAGAACATGACTAAATGTGTTGACGTTAGATTTTAATATTTACAAGTATTAAGGGACGCTTGCTTTGCTATTTTCAAGTAATTGTTTTCAATTTTTAGTTTTGTAAATTTTTGAGAACTTGTTTAGTTTGGTATTTTTGAAGATGCATTTTTGAAAACAAAATCATTTGTTTGACAACCATTTTTTTAAAACCCTTTTTTCTCATTTTCATTTTCAACCCCACATTTTCACAATAAAATATTCTTTACATAAACCTAAAATTTTTTCTTACTTTTTAACCACACATTCTCTGAAAATTTACTATTCAAACTTTTTTTTTTAAAGAATATCTGTCAAAAAAGGGCTGTATTTATAACATAATATTCAAAATATATTTTTGACGTTTTCGCATAGAAATTCTATTTACAAACTGCAGCCAATTCTGAAATTTCAAATTTATTTCAAATTGGTCCTTACATATTTTCATACAGTTTTCGTTATTTTTGTTATAATCTTCAATATTGATCCCAAAACCTCCTAAAGCTTCCACATTGGTCTCCAAACCTTAATAATCTTTCAAAATTGGTCATCTGCAAGTTCCAAAAATGAGTAATTAATTGTTTAACTTTCATTAAGTTGAATTTCACTCCTGAAACTTTCAACTTTCCTCTTATTAGTCCAGTGCAATCCGATTAGCCTTCAATTGCTCTGATTCAACTTCAATTATGATAAATAAATCGCCATTTTTTTTTCTCTAAATGTCTTCGAGTTCAGGTTTTACCTATAATAATATGTACACTAAATTAAGTAGAAAACAATATAAATTTACAAATATAATTCAATTTTATACTAAATTTATTTACCTATAATAAAAATATTTACACTAATTTAAGTAAAAAATTGTTTAAATTTACGAAGTACAATTCAAGTTTATAAGTACAAATAAACGTTTAAAACCCACTTATCACTTCTTCCAACAGCATAGGAAGGACGGAAGGTAGCTAGAAGAGTTTTTTTAGTAGAGGAGTGCATATACGCGTGGAAAATGATGATGACTACTTAGTGATTCATATATGATTTTGTATATTTATTTTATTGCTTTAATTTTTCAACTGTGTTTATTTATGTTATTATAGTATTAAGTGTGTAATCTTAGTCCACTTGCTATTATAATTGTTTGTTGTAATCTTATCATTCACAATCACATTTTTAAAAAATTAACTTTAAAATGTATATATTACTTGATAATATATTAATACAAAATTATTATGTTTTACTGAATAATCAAATTCATTGAATATAATGTCCAAAAAATAATTTCTAAAAATTCTAAATCAAAAGTATTTGTTAGTTTTTCTGTTTTGAGAAACAGTTTTTAGAATGACAAACAAATCACGTTTTCTACAATTTCATAATAGATTCTCAAAAAAAGAAAACTAAAAATAAATTCAAAAACTAAAACACAAATCAAATGAGGCCTAAATTGATGACATAAAGATAATGTTTTTGCACTGCTTTAAAAAGGAAACACTAAGCTCCCATTTGGTACACATTTTGAAGGTAAGAATGCATTTTTACTGTTGATATAATAGGGAATATGTAGTTGAAAAAGAAGGAAAAGTTATTGATATGATGAAAAATATTATTTTATTGAAGAATGTGTGATTGAAAATGAGTAGAAGAATGAGAATGAAAAGATAATATGGACCAAACAGGGCCTAATTATCAAAAATAATGTGCATCAAGTTTGACCTAATAGTGAAGATGAAAACATAGACCAACTTATAAAGTTTTGAGGTTACTCTTCTTAATAAAGTTGATCATTTAAGACGGAACTGAAGTAGGACAACTAGCTTTGGAGTTTAAAGAAGAGCTGGACAGAAAATTAACAAAAAAAGATCGTGTCAAGGGCAATTTTGTCATTTGTCGAGACGGTGTCGGAATATACTGAAATTTGGCTGGTTGATTGGAAACGGCCCAAAAAATTGGACTTAGAGCATAGCCCAAGATCTCGGGATTATAGCCAAATTCCATCGTTTAGGCATCCGAATAATTAATTTCCATATTTTTCGTTTTGAATTTTAGCTATTTTTAGAACGTTTTACTATTATATGTTTTTAGGGTTTCTTGTAAATAATTAATTTCCATATTTTCAGTTTTAGATTTTCGCTATTTTTGAAATGTTTTAATATTCTATATTTTTAGGATCTCTTGTAACGCCTATTTAAAGGCTTTTTGAACGTTTCCGACTTTATTATTGATTGCATACAAGTTTCGTTCTTGGAGAATTGCAGTTTTCTTATTTCCAAGACTTACGCTGGTAAATCTTTTACTTCCGTTCTACGTCGGAACCTCAAGTTAACATGGTATCAAAATTCAAATGAGTGATTCGATCTGAATTCAAACTCAAAAAAATGTGCCGCAAATTTGAAGATTTGTATGCTCAAACGAGCTACCATCTTGCGGAAACACGTTAAAAAATAAAATTGTAAATGTTATGCCCTAAGTCGAATCAACTTTTGACATAAACACTTTTAATATATAATTGATACATTTCATTTATGGCAGATCTATTATTTAATTGAATTAATATTCTAATAAATTATATCAAATAATACAATCCGTAGATTACTAGATTTAACTATTAGTAATTTGTTAATC